AAATCATAGAATAATTTTTTCTGAAGAAAATAAAATGGTCTCGAAGTTTAATTTCATCCGAATTATTCATTTTATTAAGAAATGTCACTTTTCTGATAAAATGTACCCTTTATGAAAAAAAGCTTATTTCCAAAAAACTTGAGTACTTGGGAACAGTTTATTATTCATTTATTAATTATAAAATAAGTTTTTCTTAAAGAAAAAAAAAATGTTCTCGACCCTTAATTTCATTCGAATTATTAAGTTTATTTAAAAATGTCTTCTTGCCAAAGAATGGTCATTTAAAAAAATGTTTATTTTCGAAAAACTATGAAAACTGTTTATTATTCATTTCTAAATCCCATAAAATAATTTTTCCCCAAGAAAATAAAATGGTTTCCATTTTTAATAATTTCACCTGAATTATTCATTTTATTAAAAAATGGCACTTTCTTGATAAAAAGTGCACTTTATTGTTAAAGGGTTTATTTCCTAAAACCTGGGATGCATTGGAAACTTTTTATTATTCATCTAATATTAATTATCAAATAATCTTCTTTCGAGAAAACAAAATGAACTCGATGCTTAATTTGAATTATTAATTTTATTTAAAAATGGCACATTGTGAAAAAATAAATTAATAATTCCAAAGAACTGGGTTTCTTCGATACAGTTTATTATTCATCTATTAATTAATTATAAAATAAGTTTTCCTTGAAAATAGAGAATGATCTCTGAAAGAGTAATTTAATCCGAATTATTGATTTTATTTAAAAATGGCACTTTTTTAAATAAAATTATGCTGAAAATCTAATTATATTCTAGTGGAAAATTAATTATACCAAAATTGTTTTCTGAATTACAAGGGAAATTATCCACAGAATTTGTTATGAAAATTCACCTCTGAAATGATTGTTGTATTTTTGGGAATTATCTACAATTGGTATTTTCTGGAAATTCATGATTGTAATAAATTGGAATTGGAATTATAGTCGAAAATTAATATCGCAAAATTCCGGGAAAGCCATGGAATTTTTCCAGTTGGAATACTAATTGAATTTATTCATTTTTTTCTTGCGAGTAATAAAATAAATGAAGAATTTCTAAAGAAGTGTGGAAAAAAAATAAACAACACTCTACACATATTTAAATGAAAAAAAAGAGCACCATACCCTATGTTCGTAATACGCACGTAAACGAAAAAATTCCTTCTCGTAGGTTTTCTTCTGCATTTCCCCCGGGTATTCCATGTGGTACCATATATATATACAAACACACACCCATATTCATAGAGCACCTCTCCCCGTCTATATAAGTCAGTTTCTTTCCAAACGGTGTTCATATACTCTAGGTGCACGTGTATGTTACTGTGTCTGTGTATTTGTGCGGAAACTAACGTCGGCGGAAAAGAAATGGCTCTGCGAAATAAAATCCAGCTTCTCTTCAATTTCTCCTCTCCTGCAAAATCGCAATGAAGACTATTGCCCCAAAAATTGTTCTCTTATTTTCACTTTCTCTCGCCATGACTCCTATAGTGTAATATTAAAATTTTTTCCTTCTTCTGCAATCCGGTTTGAAAAGAATTTTCTCGAAAGTGTCCTCTGGAGATTCCCTCGGATTTCCGATAGAATTTTAATGGAATTCCCAAGTGGAATTGATATTTTATTTGCTAATTTTTATTTAGATTTAGATTGCAGAATTTCAGTTTGCAAAAAATTTGCAGTTGGAAGTTTGAAAGTATAGTTTGAAATCTGATTGTAGGTATACGATATATAGATATACTTGTTAAAAATTTTGAATCAATTTTGCAATTGGAATTACAGTTACAATTAGAATTCTGATAGCAATTAGCATTTCAGTATCAATTAACATTTCAGTTATGATTATAGTAGCAATTATGTGCCAATTGCAGAACCGATTTTAGTTATTATCACAATTTCATTTGCTATTTTGGTTCTTGTTTTTATGTTTTTAGTTGCAGCACTGATTAATAACAATTCGGAGTCCATTCCGTGTTGCAATTTGCAATTTACAGTTGCGATTGAGTTTCTTATTATAATTTGTATTGTATAGTTGTCCTCTTATTTGCGATTTCGATTATGGTTACTACTTGTAATTCCAGTTGAAACTCCGGTTCAATTAGCAATTAAGATTTAGGATTCCAGCTGCAATTAAGGTTTTAGTTGCAATTACGATTCCAACTGCAATTCTCATTTCAATTGTGATTACTATAAAGAAAATACGTTTTAAATTTTAATTACAATTCTAGTTGCAACTCCGGTTCTAACAGCAATTAGAATCCCAGCTGCAATTCCCTTGTAAATTCTGATAACTATTTCAGTTGCAATTAGGTGCCAACTACAAATCCACTTTTAATTGTAATTACGTTCGTCAGTTGCAATTCCGATAAAAATCATAATTTTAGTCCCAACTTGTTTTTGCAAATTACAATTCTTATTTCAGTTGTAATTATTGCAACTTGCAATTAGGATTCCCATTGCAATTTGCAAAACAATTATTTTTCTGTTTGCGATTCTGATTCTGGTTCAAATTTTATTTGCAACTTCGGTTCCAATATCAATTGAGATTCTTACTGCAATTAGAGTTTTAGTTGCAATTCCGTTTACGATTCTGATTCTTATTTCATTTGCAATTACTGTACCAGGTGCAATAAAGATTCGCATTGTAATTAGGATTGTGGTTATCTTCTTATTTGGGATTTCGATTATAGTTGCAACTCCGGTTCTGGTAGCAATTAGGATTCAAGCTGCAATTCCCTTATCAATTGCGTAATAACTATTTTAGTTGCAATCACGTGTGGATTAGAAATACATTTTCTAATTGTAATTACGGTCATCAGTTGCAGTTCCGGTTCTGCTGAAAATTAAGATTTTCGTCCCAGAAACTATTTCCAAATTACAATTCTTTATTTCAGTTCTAATTACTTGCAATTTGCTCTTAGGACTCCCACTGCAATTTGCAATACAGTTATTTTTCTATTTGCGATTTCGATTCTAGGTCCAATTTGAATTGCAACTTTGGTTCTAATATCAATTGAGATTTTTGCTGATGCAATTAGAGTTTTAGTTACAATTCCGTTTAAGGTTGTGATTCTTATTTCATTTACAATTACTGTGCAGTTGCAATTATGATTCCCATTTGTAATTGAGTTATCTTCTTATTTTGCGATTTCGATTATAGTTGTAATTCCAGTTATAGTTCCATTCATGTTCCCAATTCTATTATAATTGTAATATAATTCCGATTACAATTGCAATTTCGGTGCTAATTATAATTCCGATTTCAGTTGTCATACCGTTACGGTTTGGGTAATGGATAATCGGAAATGAATCCAGAACGTGGGATTTAGAATGCAGAATCCGGAAAGTGGAATTTTTTAATCCGGAATGCTAATTGCGGAATTCGGAATCCGGCATTGATTACGAAATCGACCCCTAGTCACAATACAGATTTCAGTTACAATTCCGGTTTAATTTGCGCTTTCTATTCCACTTGAATTCCCTTATCGGTTGTAATTTCAATTCCTAAAACCAATGAAGATTCCTTTTTCTTCCAAAAAGAATTCCAAGACAACTTTCGTCATTCGCCTTCCAGAAAATCTTTCCAAACTAGAACAGAAGATACAGTTGTGGCGGAAGCAATTGTTTTATTGACAAAAGAAGGCTTTAGATTCTGGTAGCGAAGAAATTCTTCATATTATTTCAATTAACCTTAGCACGCATCTCTTGATGCAATACAGTGATAATCTATTTGCACTTTAGGAAAGTGCCTTACATTGTTTGTGTTTGAATTGTACATAAGAGAATTCATGATGAAGATATAGATTTTGTAGTTTCTAGTTTTGTGGAGATGAAACATGGAATATGGAATAGATGGTAAGGAGCGTGCAGAGTAAAGTCTGTTTATTTCAACTTGAGATACTTGGTGCCTTCTCCTCTCACATTCTACAAGTTCTGGGAATATATACGTCGCGGAAATTTGTCTAACTTGAGAAATGCGAGACGATAATGTTTCGTCAAAGTCTTTGCCGACAAACTCAAAATTATACATTTTCTAACTAAAAATTCCTCAAGTATTTCTAATTTCTAATTAATCTGACATCGTATATGAAATTTGTTAAAATTCAATTTTGTCACCAATTATTCGATTACATTTTTTGTAACGTCTTTTGATGAATTTTGATAACATATATGACACTTTAAGATCAACTAATAAACTTACAACTTGACCCTAAAAATCAAATTTCATTATTGGAATTAGAGACAATTATTCAAAATTATCGCAAAATCATCTAAAGTACTTCAATCCAATATTCAAAATTATCTCTTTGCCAAAAGCATCTGAAGTAGTATTATCAACATTTTAATTCCACTTATCATTAAATAGTTCCACTGTAATTATCATCAAACAGTTACATTCCAATTATTATCGGAACTATTTTCGTTTTAATTACTATCGAACTGTTTTGTTCCTAATTATCACAGTGGTATTCTAATTAATCAGTAAACACATTGATTTCAAAAAAAATGTTTACTTAACAAAATAAAAGCGCAACCAATTATTCTTCAAATTAAAAATCAATATTGAAATAAAATATTTTTGCTGTCGTAAAAATATCCAAATTGATGCTTCCTGGGTTCCTGGAGAAACTTTATGCACAAAAATTATTATCGATTGCTCCATTTGTGGAGAATCAACATTAGCATACATTGCCAATTGAAATAGCTTTAGGTGATTGCGAATATTATTTTCTCGAACTATCCAATAACTAGCGTTACTATTCAATTTTAAATTCAAATTTACACGCCGCGATTAGTAATTACATATTTTGGAAATGTGGAGGTTAATTACTTGAAATTTGAAACTAATTTAAATTGTGACACGATATAATTTTTAAGGAATTAGAGATAAATGGTGTTTTTTTCACAACGCTGATTGTCCTTTAACCTCTTAGACAATTTGAATTTTTAATTTCTAATTTTCTAAATAGGAAACCTCACCTGTTCAATTTTGATGATGTCCACCGTCTGTCACGTGCGGAGGTCATGCGGCATTTTCCCCTCCCTTCCTATTTGAAAGATCTAATGAAACGCCTTCAGTAATTCCCAGGTCACAACGATCACTCGTGTCACTATAAATCAATTTGCAAAATTCAACACTTTCTTTTTACACTCCCATATCACTATTATGACAAGAAACTTCTGTTGACAAATATTTGAATTCAATTTTTCTTAGAAAAATATTTCGAAATTAATTGTTGCGTAGTGCTCCTTTAACCTTCATTACAAACCGCACTAATTGCGTCCAATTACCCTAGAATATTAATTACGGGTTTAATTACCACAAAACGCTGCTCGGGGGTAGGGGGGGTGTTAAACCAGGTGATCCTAAGATATCACAGCGGTAATTAGAAATCGGGGGATTTTTACATCAAAGGTTTGTTTAATCATTTGCTCCTGTTAATTTGGGATCTGAATGTTTTTTTAAAATTGAATTTCGAATTGGCTATTTATTATGGAATTTTGATGATGACTTATTTCTTTCTTTTGATTTTAAAAATTTGAATAGTGGTCTTATTCGATTTTAGACTGATTGTAATTTTAGTTATTCGGTTAGGGTAAGCAAATGACGATCATCTTTGGCTAAATTCTAAAATCCAAATAATTGATAGTTTTCATCATCAGCTGAATTATTGGATAATAATCAAACTATTGGGTCCATCAACCCTTTTTGTGGGTGAATGACCTTAACACGTACACATACACACATTAGAAGCCGATTGTGTTTTTGACTTTTGTTGTGTCAAGTAAAACCTGATGGAAATCTGCTTCACTGGTAAATATAATGATGGTGCACGTTGACAAGAAAGAAAAAGGAGGTGTGGGGGGGGGGGTGAAGGAGGGTGTTGTTTCTCGCGTGATTCCAGCGGGGGTGAAAGAAGAGAACACCCTGCAACGAAGCGGGTTCTCGGAACGACTGAGGCTAGGGTCCTCGTAAAGAGGAGCTACCCCGCGAATGGAATGGCGAAAGAGAGGCAGGAAGAGTGAAAGGATCGCGGTGAAGCGCAGTCGCAAATTTTCATCCTTCTTGTATTACAGCATTAATTATGTCCCATTAAAGAGCTGATAAAATTCCATCACCTACGAAAGGATCGTTCAAAAAAAAAAAACACGTGTACCATGTAAAGAATGTCTACTTTAAAAAAAAAGTTTTATATCCTCCCAGCTTTATGATGCGATGGAAATAATTTCGATTTCATCACTCCCTTGTCGTTTCCCTTTAATGGATAAATAATTCCTTTCCATTTCCTTCCTCCTAAATTTCATAGTTGAAAATATCAGTTGATTAAAGAAAAAAAAGGAAATAATTTTCCCTTGAATTCATGTTTACAGTACTTGAATTCTCCGAGTCACTTAGAGGTGAAAACGAAGCATGAGGAACTTTAAACTGATTCGCTAAGATCGCGCTCAAGGATCTCGTGACTTGAGGCACTTTTAAAATTTTTCAAGGGAATGGGAATATATAGAGAAGGAGAATTTGAGGGAAGTGTAACATCCTTTTATGTCCGATGTTTGGAAAAAAAAATTTATAACACGAGCATCATATAGCGGTCTCTCGATGAAATTCTTCATTTGATCCAAAAAGTTTTTCTCTACTAGTTTTCCACTCTTATCAAGGAAAAGGACTCGTCAACTCGATCGGGACTTTGAAACAATTTTGATATCTCATCTTTCCCAGATGAGAAGAGCACTTTTTCTTTTCCCATCCTTTCACAAAAAATAAAGTCGAAGTAGTAGAGAAAACTCGAGTTGATCGTCGAGCTCGTAAAAAGATTTTTCCTTAAACGTATCGCTGCGGGTACAAACCAATTCACCACCACCCCCCCCCCTCCCTTCCTTCTCTCTCCCCAAAGACTATTTCAAACTTTTAATTGAAACGAACTAGTTTTTGAATCATTTCCCGTGAGATGGAAGATTTGTACTGATTTTTTGATTTTTTACAAAGAATATTAAATAAAAGTTTTTTTTTTGCAATATAATTTTATTTTATTTTTTGTTTACCTAACTCCAAATAATACCTCAATTGTATATTACAGATTCCTGTACCGACACTTACCAAGCAGCTTTAGTTCAGACTCAAACCACTTAACACAATCAGTTTGATCTGCAATCTACGTGTTACAGATTCCTACACCGACATTTATCGACACTTTTCTGTCGTGATTTGCCGATACTTTTATTTTTGAACATAACTCTTAAAATTAAACATATTTTACAGATTTCTGCACCAACAGTTACCGACATTTTTTTATTGAGACTCAAATCACAAAGCTTCATCCAATTAGTTATCAAATTTTTATTTTACAGATTCCTGTACCGACACTTACCGACCCGCTTTAGTTCAGACTCAAACCACAAAAACATTCACTTTGATCTGCAATATGCGCGTTACAGATTTCTACACCGACATTTATCGACACTTTTTTATCAAAACCAAAACAACAATGAAAAATTGTTTCATATAGATCGAAGTTCCATGAATATTTTTGTTTTATTTGAGATAAAATTCTCATTTCGACTTCAAGTAAAACTTTTTTTCAAACAGAATATAATTCCTCAGAAAATTCTAAGAAATTCCAGAGAAAATTATGAACGGAATTTGTAAGAAAAATCTAGTGGGCGCACTTTTCTTTAGGAAAGTGGGTTGTACATACTATATATATTCTTCTTTTAATTCTGATTTTATAGAATAAAATCCAAACAGTGATTTGTGAATTACTTGCAACAAATTTATTGGAACTGGTTTGAAATTTCAGAGACGGCTTTCGCGTTGCACAAGATTTTCCAAAGGGTGTAAAGTGCTTAATCTTCAGCACTATAATTTCAGCAAAATTGGACGCGGATTATCCGCGGGAAGCTTTTGCGATTAAGCAGCGGCATGAAGAAAGTTTTCCCTCTGGAAAACGGAAGAATGGTTTTCCAGAGAGAAAGAGTATAAGATAAAGAGAGAAAGTGAGCTAGAAGCTAGAGAAGGAAGCTAGAGAAAGAAAGAGTGAGAGAAGGAAAGAGAGAGAGAGAGGGACGTCAAAATCTGTGCTGAGAAAAGTTGCTGCTCTATAGATTCCACTAACTAATTCTTCTTCTTTTTCATACTATTATATTAAATCCATTTGTTAAAGGGGAACAAGAAATCATTTTTAAAGAAAGATAATTTTTTCTACTTTAAATCAAAAGCTCTCATTCACAGACATCTTCAATTATTTTCTCTCTTCCTGTCGCTCTCTCTCTCACTCTCTTTTTCTTTCTCCATCTCCTGCTCCCTTTCCTTCTCTTTTTTTCCGTTTTCATTGTAACATATTTTACAGAATTAAATTTTCACCTAATTAAGTTATTCTATCCATCGTTTTTAATAATTCTCACTTCCGTTCGTTATTTTAAATCTATATTTGAAAAATTCATTATTAAATTACTTTATACAGTCTACAAAAACCATTTTATAAATTTATAAAGTGACATATATTTAAATTTACAAATAAATTTGAAAAACGGTATTTCTGTTTAAATCCGATTTTCAATTATTGTTTATTAAAGCAAGTTTTCTGTAGATGCAGGAATTTATTAAATTTTTATTTTTTCTTATTTTATGCAAGAGGAAATATCGATTGAATTTACAAACAGTTTATATTTAAACAAAGATAATAAATCTAAATTACACTATCTATGTTATCTATAATTACATCTTTCAGGACAATTTGATCAATTTTTCATAAATTCGTCCGCCATTTTGAACTTTGAAAAACTAAGTTCAGATTCATAATCCGCCATATTGGATCCGCTATTTTGAATTTTGAAAAACTATGTTCAGATTCTTAATCAGTAACTCCAAGAATCCCTTGATAGCAATTTATACCAGAATCAATTAAATTTTTAAAAATGTTTTCTACCATATTGGATCCGCTATTTCGAATTTTGAAAAACTAAGTTCAGATTCTTAATCAGTAACTCCAAGAATCCCTAGATACCAATTTACACCGAAATCCGTTAATTTTTTAAAATTTTGCCCGCCATATTGGATTCGCCATTTTGAATTTTGAAAAACTAAGTTTAGATTCGTAACCAGCGTCATCAGAAAACCCTTGATACCAATTTACACCGAAATCCGTTAATTTTTTTAATTTTGTCCGCCATATTGGATCCGTCATTTTGAATTTTTAAAAACTAGGTTCAGATTCGTAATGAGAGACTCCAAAAATCCCTTGATACCAATTTATACCAGAATCTGTTGAATTTTTAAAAATGTTGTCTGCCATATTGGATCCGCCATTTTGAATTTTGAAAAACCAAGTTCAGATTCATAATCAGCGACTGTAATTCTAAAGACATTAGTTTATCCAATTTCTGGAACAGCCTTCAAAATTGTTGTGGGACTTTTGACTTTATTTACTTTTAAATTTTAATTTCTTAAAAAGCTGTTACTCAGGAACGTTATTTCAAAGTTTACTCTAAATAAATAATTAAGAAATTTTATTTTATTTCCTTAAAGTAATTTTAATTTATACTCGTACTTTAAGCTGATAATTCCATTTCACAAAATTAAAATTCCTTTAAATATCGTACTAAATGAGCATCTCTTAAATATTGCATTTAATTTTCAGGAAACGTCTGTTCCAATATATATATATATATATATCTTGAATATAATAATAAAATAATAAATTATATAAAATGTTAAATTTAAAATTACTCGACAATTTCTATTTACAGATGGTGAGTAAAATTTGTCGAAATAAGCAGGATAAGCTTCAACGTGTGGTGACTAAAAGTTTTAACCGCATCCGAAAGCATTTACAGATATGGCTATAGGGTAATACACGCGGTTTACTGGCAAACGACATATATTGCTTAAAAAAGTAGTTCTACCAAAGTTTTCTAAAAAAAAAGAATACACACTCCATTAGCCATTTCAAGTTTGCAGTATCAAACGTTTTCAAAACTTTTTTTTTGTTTTTGTAAAATTTTCTATTTCTACATTAAATTGTAAATTTAATTATTATGTTCTAATTTTCAAACTGGCCATTATATTAGTCTTGCGTAAAATTTTCTGTCATTATATCTGTATGTATATACTATATGTATATGTATCCTTTAGTTTAATTATTCAACATAAATTTTGATGTGAAATTTTATTGTTAATAAATAGTTAATGATGCCGTTATAGCTTTTGGATGTTATAACTTTCCAGTCGGTAATTTTGAAATTGAACCGTTAATAATGTAACATATGAAGGCGCCCAACCGCGTTTCCTTATTTATAGGAAAAGGTGTGGTATCACGTGTGTATTTTTCTATTAAATTGTCGTATAAATGCGCCATTAGCACGATTTTATTTATTTTTTTTTAATGTATAAATTATCATTGACATTTAGATGTAGGGAATGTCGGTCAGTTCAAGACTATGAATGTTAAATAACACTATTAGTTATCATTTCTTAAAAATTTATTTTTAAAATATTTTTTTTATTAATATTTGATAGAAATGTATCAATCGAAGCCGGTAGAGCAATTTTATTGGTGAAATTAACCATTAATTACGAATTCGAGGACTGTTTCACAAAATTCAAAATGGCGGATCCAATATGGCGGACAAGTTTTTTTAATTCATTAAGTTAGCATGAAATTTAATTTAAAAATTTTTGTCTTTTTAATATAATTCTACTACGAATTTACTTTTGACCAACCTTCTTTGATTATGGACGCAGTTTAAAAAGCAATCTGCTCTTTAAATAAAAAATGGTATCACCACCGACGCTGATATTTAAATAAGCGTCTAATTAAATGGATGTTTAGTTTCAACTCCGAGAGGCAAAATCAAATATTTGGACGTTCTTTTTTAATTTTTATACAAATTCTAAAAAGAAACAGAAAGGAAAAGTTTTTGTTAAATTAAAAAGAAAATAAATAGATGACATATTAAATTACTTTAGCCACCAACATTTAACATGTTTAGTTTGTAGACCTTGAGAGAGATTTAAAAGGGTCGCTGAGGTTAAAGCGAAAACAAGAGAGAGAGAGAGAGAGAGAGAGAGAAAATTAGTCACATCTCTCGGGTTGATATTCGGTACTA